TCAGTATAGAGAAATTTTCATTCCCCCAAGCACTCTACTCATGCAGAGAACTTGCAGGTGGGAAGGGTCTCTCAGTTTGTGAGATACAGACTTTGCCCTTTCTTGACCCTAGCGAACATACAAAAATCTGGGGGAGGGATGCAGCTAAGATTTGTGAGAATCTTTTTGCTGATTCATATTGCTTTCAAATCTCAGCATGAATTTATGTCCATTTATTTATTTATTTGTCGTATTTCTAGCCCGCTCTCCCTGCAAGCAGGCTCAGGGTGGTTCACATTACTTGGCCCACTGGGCTGAGATTCATATAAACATTTAAAACCAATCAAACAATCAATCAGTTACAATAAAACCAGTTAAACAATCAATCAATTACAATATACAAATTAAAGTGCTCACAGTACGTTTTAGGGAAGATGGCATATAGGGCCAAAACATCCCACTCAGCAGCGGCACGATCGCACTGCAGCCTGGCCTATGCCGCAGATAGTAATAGTGGCCGTTGGTGGTATTAGTGGGCAGCTCCTAATTGAAAGCCTGGTGGAAGAGCTCTGTCTTACAGACCCTGCGGAACTGCATAAGATTCCACAGGACCCTGATCTCCTCTGGGAGCTCGTTCCACCAGTAAGGAGCCACTGAAAAGGCCCTAGCTCTGGTCGCAGCAAGCCTAGCATCCCTGGGCCCTAAAAATAACCAGCCAATGTTGTGACCCCGACCGTAGTGCTCTCTGGGGTTATGTATGGGGAAAGGCGGTCCCTTAGGTATGTTGGACCCTGGCCATTTAGGGCTTTAAAGGTAAGTACCAGCACCTTGAAGCGAATTCAGTATGCTATTGGCAGCCAGTGCAGTGCCTTCAGCACCGGCCGGATGTGCTCCCGTCTAAGAAGACACATCAACAGCCTGGCCGCGGCATTCTGCACTAGCTGCAGCCTCCGGATTTGCGACAAAGGCAGCCCCATGTAGAGAGTGTTACAACAGTCTAGCCTCGAGGTGACCATCACGTGGATCACTGTAGCCAGGTCATCGTGATCGAGGAACAGAGCCAACTCCTGAACCAGCCGAAAACAGTAAAAGGCCGACTCGGCAGTGGCTGCTACCTGGGCCTCCATTGTTAAGGAGGGTTCCAGGAGCACTCCCAAACTCCTAACCCCCAGTACAGGCACCAATGGCGCCCCATCAAAGGTCGGGAGTGGGAGCCCCAACCTCACACCACCCCAACTCAGGCACAAGCCCTCCGTCTTCGCCAGATTTAGCTTCAGCCGACTCAGTCTGAGCCAACCAGCCATGGCGTGCAATGCCCGGTCCAGATCTTTCAATCTGGAGCCCAACTGGCCGCCCAACATCAGATAGAGCTGGGTGTCATCAGTGTACTGATGGCACCCCAGCCCAAACCTCCATGCCATCTGGGCAAGGGGACGCATATAGATGTTAAAAAGTATTGGGGAGAACATTGCTCCCTGAGGCACTCCGCAATCCAATAGGTGCCTCTGGGACTGCTGCTCCCCTAGCATCACCCTTTGTCCCTGACTTTGGAGAAAGGAGACAAGCCACTGCAAGGCAAGCCCCTGTATCCCCACATCGGCAAGGCGGCGGGCTAGTAGCTGATGGTCGACCATGTGAAACACGGCCGACAGATCTAACAACAGCAGCACTGCCGAGCTGCCCCGATCCAGGTGCCTCTGGAGGTAATCAGTAAGGGCGACCAGCATTGTCACCGTCCCATGTGAAAGCCAGACTGGAAGGGATCTAAAATGGAAGCGTCATCCAGAAAGTTCTGCAACTGTATCACCACCGCCCTCTCAATTAATTTGCTCAAATAGGGCAAATTGGACACCGGCCAGTAGTTGGCCAATTTGGCCGGACCCAGAGATGGCTTTTTCAAGAGATGGTGGGCCATTGCCTCCTTGAGTGCCCCTGGGAACCGTCCCTCCACAAGGGACTTGTTGATAATCTCCCTCAGGGCACGTTTGGAACCCTTCATGGCCAGCTTTAATCAGCCAGTAAGGGCACGGATCAAAGTTGCATATGGTTGGGCATACAGTCATGAGCAATCTGTCGACTTCCTCCAGGCCGAGTGGGCCGAAGGGATCCAAAGCTGGAATCGAAGACATGCAAGGGGCCTCAAGTTCACTCATTGTATCAACTGTGGCGGGGAGATCGTGGCAGAGCACCAAGACTTTATCCGCAAAATAGCTCGCAAAAGCCTCACAGCCAATGTCCAATTCCCTAATGTTTGGTCTGCCCTGTAGCAGAGCTGTAATGGCCCGAATTGTTCTAAATAATTAAGCTGGGCGTGAGCTTGCAGATGCAATCATGGCTGCATACAACTCCTTCTTAGCGGCTTTGACTGCTATCTCATAGGATCTCATAAACATCTTATAAGATGTTCTTGTTGCTTCGTCTCGAACCCGATGCCACCGTCTCTCTAATTGTCTCAGCTCCCGCTTCATAAGCCACAGTTCCTGGGTGTACCAGGAAGAAAGCCTAGAGGGCGCAGAGGGCGCCAGGGAGCGATCTTGTTGATGGCTGCAGGGAGTCGGCCATGCCAGTCCTCCACAAGCTCATCCAATGAGCCGCCAGGGGGCATAGGATCCCACAGGGCCATTTGAAGCCGCACTGGGTCCATTTGGCTCTGCAGATGAGCTAAAATTCGCTCACGGCCTAAACAGGGTCGGGGTGGAACATTCAGACGAGCCCTCAGGGCATGGTGTTTCGACCATGGTACTGCTGAAGCAGTAACCCGGTCCACTGTTACCCCAGCCGTGAAGATCAAATTGAGCATGTGCCCAGCCCGGTGAGTGGGGGTCATTACCAATTGGGAGAGCCCTAGCGCCGCCATGGACAACACCAGGTCCGCCACCTGGATGGACGTTGAAATCACCCAAGACAATCAGGCTAGGGTGTTCCAGTGCCCAGCCTGATACAGCCTTCATCAGGGCCAGTAGGTTATCAGCCAGTGCGTTAGACAGTCAGTACACCAGTCAAATCGCCACATTCTCCCCGGCCTCCAATACCAGACCTACACACTCAAGGCCCATGATCACCACTGACTGGAGCGCCCTGAAGGAGTAAGCCTCCCGAATGAACATCGCCACTCCCCCCCCCCGCCCCCTAGTCCGTGATTGGTGTAGGACCGAGAACCCGGGGGGGGGGGACAAGCTGGGAGAGAGCTACCGTCTCCCCGTCCCACACCCGGGTCTCAGTCACGCAAGCCAGATCTGCCTGCTGTTCCAACAGGAAGTCCCGAAGGACCATGGTCTTATTGTTTATAGATCTGGCATTGCACAGCACCAATGTCGGAGGAGGGTTATCCATCCTCGCCCCACTGCCAACAACCTTCGGGATGGGTCGCACACTGGAAGGGTGCCGAGCAGTCCTATTTCTCCATTCCCTTCCTTTTACTTCCTGCCTGGACCCACCGCTATACCTTCCCCTCCCCAGGAGCACTGGAATTTGTCCAGGCATCACTGCACCAGCGTTCTTCGCAAAGGCCACAGAGCACTGGTGGGACTAAGCTGTGCCCCTCCCAGATATACTCGCTGGCAGCAGCAGCTGATTCTGATCAGTTCTAATACAAGTAATCCTACAATTAAACAATCCTATAAGGTTACTAATAGCTTCACTCGACACCAGTCTGTTAACAATAGGACCAGTGACATCCCATAGTCTACTACTACATTTAAGAGGTCTTATCTAAAGCAGATGTAAGCTACTTGTCCCAAAGTATGGTTGGAGAATACATGGTGCAGCAAACCAGCCAAGTCAGGTCTGGTCTGGAGGCCTGGATGAGAATCCTTCTTGGAATCCTTTGTAAACTTGCCTTGGAATCCCATAGTTGATGAAAGGCACAACATAAATGCAATATATAGTATAAGAAACTGTAGTTAGTCAGCTTCTCTAAACTGGAATTAACTTACTTAGACTGATCAGTCCAAATCCAAACAGTGTTTTCAAACAGTAGTGCCAGAAATAAGGTACCAAAGCAGATCAAGAATTACCATACAAGCTACTTCAGAGTTTTTCTGTAACCAAATAAGGAACAAAACACTTGCAGTTTAATTTTTTAAAATTGTTCTGCTTAACCCAGTCAGTTACTGAAATAATTTATGTGTGGGAATAATTACCCCATCAAAACAATTTGAATTTATGGCTTATTCTTTATATAACAGGCATTATTTAGAAAGGATAGTATGTGTGGGTGAGTGTGAGATCTGGCCAGCGCTCTAAGTACAATCAAAGTTTGATTACAAAGGGACCCTCAGAATCAAATCTAGAGATTTAGCCTCTGTTACGCTCAGTCCCAGTTCTTACAATTAGAGGGGAGATATGGTTGCTGCTCACATGCTATGCAGTAACTACTAAGCCCTTGAGATCAAGAGGTAGAGAAAGGCACGGTTAAATTCCCTTATCCGCGTTGCCAATCTGGAGGCAAACCCTTCCCATTTGTAAACTCAGTGCTGTTTTTTGTTAAATAGAAAAGGGGGGGAGTGCTGGTTCTCATATATACGTTTGCACTGATCCAATAAAATCTCTATGA